TGTCCTGCTACTCACTGTGTAGACCAGGCTGGCCTCAAACTCAGAGATCTGCCTGCCTCTGCCTCCCTAGTGCTGGAATTAAAGGCGTGTGTCACCACTGCCTGGCTCACAGCCAGCTCTTTTAAATTGTTTTATACGTTTTTTTATTTTTAAATTTATTTTATAGGTCTGAGCATTTCACCTGCATGCATGCCTGTATACCACATGTGTGCCTGGTGCCCAGAGAAGCCAGGAGAGGACATCAAATCCCATGGAACTGGAGTGACAGATGATTGTGAGCTACTTACTCTTCGGGGACTGTGGAAGAACAGCAAGTGCTATTAACTGCTGAGCCAGCTGTCTAAACTGGTTTTTAAAAATATGTTTAGTTTTAGGGGTATTGTGGTGGTGGCGGCGTGTGTGTGTTTGTGTGTGTATGTGTGTGTGCATGTGTACACATGTATGTGGGTTTACATCTTGCCACAGAGGTCAGAGGGCAATTTGCTTGGATCTATTTTCTCCTCTATGTGGATCCCAGATTTAAACTAAGTTTCTCAGATTTATTACTAAGCACTTTTACCCACTGAGCCATATCTATGGCCATTTGATTTTTGTCCCGAGATCTTACTCTGTAGCCCTGGCTGTCCTAGAACTTTCTCTGTAGAATCAGTTGACTTATGTCAATTCTTCTGCCTCCTCTTCTGAGCCCTGTGGTTACAGGTGCAGGCCACTACACCCAGCCAGCTTCCCTTCTGCATTGTGATATTCAGCTGAGGTCAATGATTACTCACAGCACATCTGGTGTGCTTTATTGGTGTTTTCTTCGCTGAGTAGATTGACAGGATTTGTACTCAGAATTAAGGTTCCCTGGCAAACCAACCCTTTTGCTCGTTCAGCCCAGTAGAGGGCGCCCTCAGCCAGGAGCAGAAAGAAGAGTTGCCAGCCCTGGGGGACTGACTCCGTTTCCCCGCTCAGATAAATGACCCCACAGCGCCCGGCATTTAGAGCCAGAAGATCTAAGGTCTACTTTACTTCTTTGGTAGTAATTAATGCCTACACTCCTTCCCCTCTCTCCCTCCGTTCTTCCTTTCTTCCTTAGTTTCCTTTCCTTTTTGAGGCACTATTTTACTAGGTAGGCCTGGCTAGTTTGGAACTCACTAGCTTACAACTCACAAAGGTCAGTCTTCTTCTGCGTCCTCCGAGTTGGGATTAAAGACCATGCACCAGCATGCTTGGGTCTTTGGTGGTAATTTCATGTGAAACTCTGTCTCAAAAAACAAAACAAAACCCCCAAACCAAAAACAAACAAACAAAACAAAACAAAAAAACAAAACAAAAAAAACAAATCCAACCAAAGAAACAAACAAATAACAGGGGCTGGAGAGATGGCTCAGTGGTTCAGAGCAGCTGCTGCTTTTCAAGAGGCCCTGAACTCATATTTAAAAAATGAAGCTACATGGTGGCTGTGTTTGTAACCCCAGTGCTGGGAGGCCAGGAACGATTGACCAGCCAGACTAGCCTACTTGCTGAGCTCCAGGCCAGAGAGAGACGCTGACTGAAAACACAAGGTGGAAGGCTTCTGGGGGCCTCTGCTCCTCTCCTATATGCTCATATGGAGGAATACACAGACACACAGACACTGGACCTGACTAGTCGCACATTTGCCCATCCTTTGTGACTTGTGGGGTAAATCGTTTTCATGACTTTGCTTTTTCATTCTGTAGAAGGTAGTACTTTTTTTTTTTTTTTGGCAGCCCCCTCATATATGTGTGTGCATGTATGTATATATGTATGTATGTACGTATCTGAGGGTGACCCTGAACTCCTAATTCTCTTGTACCTATCGAGTACTAGAACAGCTGTATGTCACCATGTTTTTTATTTATTTGAATGAATGTATGTATGTGTGTGTATGAGAGAAAGTGTGTGTATGACAGTGTGTGTATCTGTGTGTGTTTGTATGTGAAAGAGAGAGAGAGAAAGAGAGGGAGACAGAGTGTGTGTGAGTGTCTTCTGGTTTTCTTGTCTATTTGAGACAGGGTTTCTCTGTGTAGCCCTGGCTGTTCTGGAACTCATTCTGTAGACCAGGCTGGCATCAAACTCACAGAGCTCCACCTGCCTCTGTCTCCCAAATGCTGGGATCAAAGGTGTGTGCCACCATCACCCAGTGTGTTCAGGGTTTTAAGCACCCATTAGAAAGACCTCTATTCTAGGCAAGAAGGAAGCACCTCATGTTTTCTTCTGGAGTTTCCTTTATTCATGTTTGGACTTTGATCCTTGCTCTAGACAAACAATCCACTGACACCCTCCTCCCCCTTTTAAATCATTTTCTTTGTTTGGTTGTTTTGTTTTGGTTTTTTGAGACAGGATTTCTCTGTGAAGCCTTGGGTGTCCTGGACTCACTTTGTAGACCAGACTGGCCTCAAACTCACAGAGGTCTGCCTGCCTCTGCCTCCTGAGTGCTGGGATTGCAAGCCTGTGCCACCACACCCAGCCCCATCCATCCTTTTCAATGGCCTTTCCCCTTTCCCCTTATTTTTACCAAGGACCACTGTGGCCTCTATCAGCCAAGACTTTGTTTTATCTCTCTTTCTCTTTGCAAACACACACACACACACACACACACACACACACACGCATGCGTGCGCACACTCACGTGTGCAGAAGTCTACAGACACCTACAGAGGTCAGAAGAGGGCATCAGATTCCTCTGGAGCTGTAGTTATAGGTATGGGTCCTGGAAAAAAAAAATCTAAGTCCTTTGGAAGAGGACGAATTAGCTCTCCAACCTGAGACAGGATCTTGTTCTGTAGCCCAGGCAGGCCTAGAACTCGGTATATAGCCCAGGCTCATTGTCAATGTATAATCCCCCTGTCTCAGCCTCAGTTACAAGATGTCTGGTGTGAGCTATATAAAGGAATTTTAATTCAGAAATGGCTGCTCTGACAAGAGATCATATCCAGAGACCTAGGTCTGTGTGATCCGGTTGGAATACAGACACACCTTTAATCCCAGGAGACAGAGACAAGCAGATCTCTGAGTTCAATGCCAGCCTGTTAGAGAGCAAGTTTCAGGTAAAAAATAAAAAATAAAAAAAGCTTAGGTCCAGATGTGGTGGTACATGCCTTTTTTTTTTTTTTTTTTTTTTTTTTTTTTTGAGACAGGGTTTTTCTGTGTAGCCTTGATGTCTTGAACTTGCTTTGTCCACCAGGCTGGCCTTAAAACTCACAGAGATCCACCTTTCTCTGCCTTCCCAAGTGCTGGGATCACAGGCATGTGCCACCTTGCCTGGCTGTTGGTACATGAGTTTTGTTCAGTTGAGTTGGTGAGTTGAGAGGCAGTTCAGGGGAGCTGAGTTTGTGGCAGTTCAGTTCATGGAATTCAAAGGCAGTTTCACTGGGAGAGTTTTACCAAGACAGGTTGAAGAGAGAACAAGCTAGACACAGGTGAAGGGAGAATGAGCCAGAGAATGAGAAGGAGCCAGATTAGAACAGATTGCTAGAGTTAGTTTGGGGCCAAGCAGAGCAATTCAGGCAGAGGCCGAGAAAGAAGCCAGACTGAATCAATCAGCCTGCTTGAACAGGAGTTTGAGCCAGAACAGCTGGGTTGAACCAGCCAGCCAGAGTTCAGAAGAAAGAGCTGGAAAGGGTGAGCTCATTCAGCAGTAAGCTCAGAGGATGAAAACATTCTAGGCTGAGGTAAGATTGTACAGAGGCTGAAAGCTTCCAGCACTAGGTCTGCATTGGCAGATGGAGGCAGTAAGCCTTGAGGTGACAATTAAATCAGGCAAATAAAAGTTACTTTAACATAGCTACTGTGCTCATACGAATTTTTTTTTTCTTTTGAGGTGAGGTGCTGGGGAGAGAATCTGTGACCTCACAGATGCTGACCACTGAGCCACCCTCTCAGGCCCAAGGGTTCTCCTATCCATTTTACATCGTTTCTGGTCTTTTCAGCTCCTGTCTAGGATTCGTTTTTGGTAATAGCAAACCAACCATGATCTCTTTTGATGTCTGCCTTTGCTCATGCACATCATTTTAGTTAAAGCCAAAGGCACCCAAGTGAGGCCGGCTGTGTTACTCTTACCATGGGGAGACAGAGCAGTACTCTTGGAAGGGTTTCAGGGCTTGCGTTGAGAATTACTCTGGGTGTAATCCCAGAGCTGGGCCTCCAGGGCTAGCCTTTCACCTGCCTGTAAGACAGTGGATGAGGAGTGAACGAATAACCCAATGAGGGAGTTAAAGATACCTTCCCCTCGAGCCCCCATATGGCTGCAGATAGCCAGGCTACAAAATCAACAGTGATTCCCAGTCTGCCTCTTTCCATATGCAATGTTTCCTTCTTCCCAATTCCTCCTATTCCGAATCCAAAGAGCAAACACTGGGTTAGGGGCCCGGCTGTGGCCAGACTGGTACACCTGACTTGCTGACTTAAGTTATTCTTCTGGGAATTGGTGGGGTGAGGGGTCTTTGGTGGTAATTTCATGTGAAACTCTGTCTCAAAAAACAAAACAAAAACTCAAAAACAAACCCCCACGGGTTGGTGAGCGCCGCAGCCCAGCTCACTGGTGGAGGGAGGTGAGACTAAGAAGATTCAAGGGAAGATGGAGAGGAAGAGAAAGAAGGAGGAAGGAGGCCTTAGGGAGGAGGGGCTGGGGTTGGATAAGTAGGAGAGATGAGAAGAGGGGAGAACAAAGTAGAAGCAGAGAGAAGAGAGGAAGGGCGATGGGGCGAGGTAACCGAGGATGGGAGAAAAGGGAGAGGAAAGGACGAGGGAGAGCAAGATTGGAGAACACAGAAGGTGGTGGAAGAGAAAGGTTGGGGCCTACGGACTGGGGAGGCTAGGAGGCGGAGGAAGGGAAAAATGAAGAGGAAGAGCCCCTCCTCCAGCCCTCCGCGGAGTTGCGCAATCCGCACAGGCTGGGATTGGTCGCTGCGTGTGCACGACGCTCCGCCCCCGCCCCTCGTGACCAATGGCGGCTGGGGGGCGTGGCCTTCGTGGGAGTGGAGTCCCGGCGCGCGCTCTGGCTCTGCAGTAGCGGCGGGCGCCCTTTGGAAAAGCCGCGTTTGCAGTTTCAAGTTGCGGTCTTCCCCTCCCTCGCTCTCGGCGCCCGCTCGACCCTCGCAGCCGATCAGAGGCACGCTCCCTGGCTCCGGCAGTGTTTCCGCTTCGGCCATGGCCACGAAGATCGACAAGGAGGCGTGTCGCGCGGCGTACAACCTAGTGCGGGACGACGGCTCGGCCGTGATCTGGTGAGCAACGCCGCGGGGCCGGGGATGCCGGTAGTGACCTGCTTCGTGCCGCTCGCCGCCGCCGCTCACCTATGTTTCTTTTCTTCCTCCAACCCAAAGGGTGACTTTCAGATACGACGGCGCTACCATTGTCCCCGGCGATCAGGGAGCGGATTACCAGCACTTCATCCAGCAGTGCACAGGTAGGGCGACCTGAGACCCTTTGGGAGAGAATGGGCACCGTGGGCAGTAAGGTTCTGGCCATCCAAGCAGCGACAGATCTGGGCTGGGTTTTTGTTTTGTCTTTGTTTTTTTTTTTTTTGAAACGGGGGCTCACTATATATCCTGGGTGACCTCCAGCTGGCCATCCTCCTGCCGCAAGCGTCCAAGTGCTGGTATGGTGGGCGTGCACAGCCATGTCAAGCTCTGCTCTGAGCTTCCTAAAGTCCTGTCTGTGTCCCTCGCCTGCCTTCCCCCACCTCCCCCAGCCTCTGTGGACATCTCCTTCGGCAGAAGTAACCCCTGCAGATTCCTCTCCTGGAAGGGTCAGACCGCTTCTTCCGCCCCCTGCGGTTCACTGGGTTTTCAGGTCAGATGGGCAGTTCAAACTCTAGTGTCCAGCCCTATCCAACACCCTCTCTGATTGGTTAGTGAACAAGAACGGCGAAGCCCCTAGGGGCTGCAAGCTGAAGGCAGAACCCAGGGCCCCACCCTCCTTTTTCCTTCCATCTTTGTCCGCATCTGCTTCTGTACAAGCCTTTAATTTGAAGAGTACAGAACCTCGGACTAAGAGCAGACGCCTGATGTTGATGTATGAGGCCTGGAGAAAGTAAAGCTGACTTGTGAGGTCCGAGTGGCCGCAGGCTGGGGTGGGGCATGGCGGGGAAGTTCTGGGAGTGGAAGTGCCCCACGGTTTGGTAGGAAGGGGTCATGCAGATGTGTGACTTCCTAAAGGCACCCACGCTGGAACCCTAAGGTTTCTATGTGTTCTGGGATGTGTGAACCGTGAGAGAACACGTGGCCTCAGTGGCCACAGCCCCTGGAAGAAGCAACAGCTCAGCACAGTTGGTAATGAGATCTTTTAAGGAGCTGGTGTGCAGTGCAGCTCAGCATTCTGGAAACAGGCAGGAGGCTGGAGAGCTGGACACCAGCCTGGGCTGTGCCCTTCCCTCCCCCACCCCAAAATAAATAAAAAGAGCCTTTAAAGAGATTAGATGTAGGAGATCCGGGCCCTAGTGTCCCCTGTTGTCTTTAGCTTTGGAACTAATGTCAGACAAAGACAGGCCACCTGGAGGCTAGGGTGTGGACTCCCAGCAGATGGCTGTGGATTTGAATTCCACTGGGGCTGCTTTCCAGCTGGGTGGGATGGGGCAGGTCCCTGTGGGGGCCAAGGTTCCCCACCTATCATCCCTTAGTGCTGCTGTGAGATTGATCCGACTCAAGTGTTCAGTGCTTGTCAGAGTTGTTGGTGGCATACATAAAAGAAGAATCGAGCCAGGGTCATGTGACTTCCTTTCCTTAACTGCTTTCTTTTTTTCCTTATTCCTCTTTTTTCTTCCTTCCTTTCCTTCTTTCTCTCTCTTTCTCCCTCCCCTCCTCCCCCAGTACTGGGTATGGAACCCAGGGCCCCGAATGTGCTGGGCACATGTTCTGCCTCGGAGGCACATCTCAGCCTTCTTAAAACTTAAGCCATTTTATTTTGAGACAGGTTCAGATGCAGTAGTTCAGGCAGGCCTTGAACCTGTGATCTTCCTGCTTCTGCTTCCTGGTTTGTGCCACCTGCCTCTTTAGTTGCTTCCTGGCCTCAGACTTGCTATGTATCTGAGCGTCCGGAGCTCCTGATCCTCCGTCTTCGCTTCCGAAGTGCTGGGATTTTAGGCATGCATCCCCATGCCTGACTGCCTGACTTTCTTAATTGAATCATCTTTTGTATTTAGTTCATCTCAAAGGGCATTTACTTTGTGCTCTGTGGTACTAACATTAGTGTGCATTTGTGTGTTTGTGTGTAAGTGTTTGCCCAGCTAAAACATCTCCTGGGAGTTCCATCTAGCTGCTGTATTCATTGCTTTTGTAAATAATTCACATAAACCCACACTTAAAGCAACTCGGCAAAGCCACTCGGCGCTGCTGGAGCTTCTGGCTCAGCAGCATGATCTCAGCGGCTGTAACTGCAGTGAATGCTTCCAAAGCAGGCAAGTGCAGGCTCAACTTTCCCAGAAGTTAGCACATCGTCAGCAGGATTGGCCTCACAGTCTCTGGGACTGGGTGCTTCAGGCCCTATTCTCTCCTCACCAAACCCACCTCTCCCTCCTCACCGGGAGCCTATCTCCAGCTGTCCTGCCTCTGTGACCGTTGTTTTCTCCACTGAGTTGGGGAAGGTGACAGAGGAAGAGCAAGCATCCTGCAGGCCCGTTCCTAACTGATGCTCCTGGCTGCTGGACATCCGGCCTGGATGGTGCCTCGGGGACACTTCCTTCCTCTGGCAGGCTGTGCCTTTCTGCGCAGATCTCCCTCTGTTTACCCTCTTCAGGGACGGGATGGCAAGCGTCTGGCGCATGAGCTAAAAATGATCTGCAGGCTGCTTGTTGGTCCTTGTGAATGGGCCGTGGGATCTGAGGCTCATCTGTGGCAGCTGCGGTCTGCTCTCTCATCCCAGCCATCTGGTGGACAGTGGACAGATGGTTCTGCTTGCCACGTCTGCTCCCTGCCCCACACTCAGCACCCTGCTTGTGATCTTACTTACCACCATACCTGACCTAGGTGTCAGCCATGCTTTGGATGGGTTGGCGCCTCAGGATTGCAGACCAAAGCCAAAGCCCAGACATACCTGCCACCACACAGCTAGGAAAAAGAGAGCTGTGACTGGACCTTGGGACCCATTGCTCTTGGCCCTAAGGAAGTGGTTTAGGGTCTTGTTCCTCGTAGAATGGTTTGCCCTAAGTCCCCATCAGCTGTCCTGGCAGGCCCCAGAAGAAAGGCTTTTTTTTGTTTGTTTGTTTCCAAGCACATCAGAGGTGCCTTTCTTATAGAATTATTTCGTCTTAATAATTACATAATAATTAATAACAGAATGACTATATAAATATTAGTTAACGAAGTTACTTTCACTCCTGTAGCTTCCGTCCCGAGACTCGGTGGGTGAGTAGCCCAGCACACAGTGCTGCCTGTGGTAGCCTCCTGTGGCACTACCCTTAGCCCAGGTCTGTTCTCAGTAGCTGCTCAGATGATGGGGAAAAGCGGTTGCCATGGTGCTGAGGGGTTCAGGCTGTACCATTGTTCTGGGTTCAGATTCATGTTCCTGAAGCAGGCAAGCTGCCCATCTGTTGACCCTTTTCCACAGTGGAGTCATCAGGAGTGTGTGTGCAGGCTGTAGTGAGTTCTTTAGATGTCAGTTAGAAGGACTGGCGTTTTGTTTGGGGACAGAGGTACATGCTGAGAGTGGTGGAAAGGTGAGGGGGATAAGATAAGAGCAGCAGCTGAGCCGGGGTAAGGACACCCCCCCCCCCCCGCAGAGAGCCACATGGAGTCAGGCAGAGTCACAGCTCAGCCCACAGAGGCGGAGGGACCATTTGCCAACCAAAGAGGACGTGCCAGCCACATGACATTTGGAGAAGAGGGGCTCCTGGGTCTGGCCTGGGTGGCAAGGCAGAGACCCCAGCTGTCTGGAGTCACGTTTTTGTTTCTGTACTGTGCAGACGGCTCAGGAGTCTGTGTGTATATACACGTGTGTGGGTGTATGTGTATGTGTGCCCGTGTCCGGGTGGGTGCATGTGTGTGTGTAATCCAGAGGTCAGCCTTGACGTTTCCTTGCTCACTCTTTAAGACGTGTGGGGGGAGGGGGTTCCCATGCGGGCACATGCCACTGTGCGCAGTTCTTTCCTGCCGCCTGAGGTCTAGGGATCAAATTCAGGTGGCAGTGACAGGCACTGTCATCCGCAGAGCCATTTTCCTAGCTTGCCGCCTTATTTTTGAGTCAAGGTCTTCTACTGAACTTGGAGCCTGTGTCTGGGTGATCAGTGCACCCCAAGACTTGCGGCATGCTACCATTCCCGCTTTCCCGAGAGTGCTGGGAACTCAGGACTCAGACATCGGTCCTCATGCTCCCGCAGCAGCCCCTCTATCCACGGAGCCACTCAGCTGCAGCAATCCCGTTCACAGTATTCAGAAACTCAGTTCAAACGGGAAAACCATTCAGAAGGTGTTCGCCCCGCCCTTTCATTTGCCCCTTCAATGCCTTCACGTTCATTCATTCTGTGCACCAGTGGCTGCTCTGTAGACTGGTATTATGAGAACCGAGGGATATGCCACAAGAAAGAAATTCCTACGCCCAGCAGATGTTTTGTGCCTCTCAGGAGGACTGACGATGTGATCATGGACCTAGTTTTTCTCTTATGTTCTTGAAATGCTTCTCTTTCTGTGTACTTTCTGATCTAGAGTGGGACCGGCCTATGCCTGCTGGGTCTGAACTCCCGTCTTTCCCACCTTTTGTTTTTTTCTGGTGGCCACTTTAAAAAGGCTACATAATACTCTGTCAACTTCAACATTGTCTACCCGGTCCTCTCCGGATGGACCCAAAGTCTTCACCACAAGCACTTTTCCTTTGGAGAGAACCCAGGCTTCTGGGAAAGCATCCAGTCCGGTGGTGTAGATTTTAGAGCCTTTGGGGAACAGCGCAGATGAAGGAGATCCACTCTCTCCTCTAGCTGAGGCCTGGCTGTGCTGTGTGACCTTGGGCGGTCTCCCAGATTCTCTGTTTCTGTGTCTGAGGTGATGGCTGTGATGATAATGTGGTGGGGTACAGAAGCACGGCCCAGCAAAAAATAGATGTCCACTATGTATATAGCACCAGCAGGGCAGTCTTGGGAGGTGCCCGGCCCGCCCGGCTGAAGTAAACTCTGTGTGTGGTGGTACATGGAGAAGGACACTTGGGGGAGAGTGTCGGCAGTGAAGCTTGGTTGGCAGAGGTGCTGGGTGAAGGCTAGGGCAGAGGATACTCCCATGATGCTCTGGTCAGACCACATGAGAATAGCCTGAAGCCTCTTTGACTGAGGACACAGACCCACATCTTCTCCTTTGTGGGAGAGGGTTGGGGGTGAATGGCTCTCAGTTGGCCCGTGACCCAGACTTGGCCAGTCAGAGCTAGCCATCCCCACCACACTGATTAGCTCAAGGTTGGGACCTCACATGACTCCTCAAGCTGATC